GAAATGTACACAGTTCAAGCTAGGAGACAAAGAGATAAACTGGTTTTCAGCTAGCATCGTCTACGAGGGTATTTCCTGTGGACGAACTATCTATAATTTACCAAGAGGCGAAGGATTTCTGACTCACGTCAATTGCAACGAGGGCTATGAAGTCTCTAACGATAAGTACCTGGTGAAAATCGGGCTAGATGGAAAAGCCAAGCAATTCGTGGATCCCGATATGAAGTGTCAGAGCGTCAAGGAGGCCGGTTTTATTAAACTTTTTGAAGACGATCGAGGCAATTATTGCCTTAGCACTGCCTGCGCAAAAGTTGTTTACCACAATTATAGCTTCGAATCTAGTTACGTAAAATTGCACTCCAAGTGCTTCGAACCAAAAGATTTTAAAAATGTTTCAAAATACGACCCGATGAAATTATCCTACCGCTACGATAGAGTGTTAGTAATCGAATGATAAATATCATTCTTTTAGTCAATAGTATACTCTATTGCTTAATTAAAAAGACAATTTATAATTCGTATGTTTGTTTTAAACTATCCTCTACTTTTACTAAACATACTTCATCTCTCAATGTCGATAAAACCCTAAAAATTAACTCGTTCGTCTAACTTGTGCTAGAATTCGCATGTGATTTTTAGTTGTTAATGAATAAGTGACTTTGTCACGTTTTCAAAAAAAATGTTTAATAAAATAATTTTAGTCAAAAAACTTAGTTTTTGGAATTTTTCCCTCCTTTTGACGTGCAAAATCTCAATTTTTTCATCGTAAACTCTCGCTAATATTACAAAGAGTGGTAAAAACCAAAATCTAATTAAGTTATATCCAGATTTACACCCCGAAAAATTCTCAAAGCTTCCTTTCCAAGTCATTTAATGCCTTACAACTATTATTTAAATGATCCTTTTAGTTGAACGGCCATGAAAAATCCGAGAACATTGTGCTGCATGGAATTTTTTAAAGTAATTAATATTATCTTTGAAAAATCGAAAATTAACTACATGTTGACATTGAGGACACCTTGTTTTACAAACCGTGTGATCGCTGTAACCGTTAACTCAATTTTTCTGTATACGAGAGTTACCTAAAATTTAAAAGTTTCTAAGAAATTACCCTGTCTGTAGCTGCTTTACGCTACTTACTCGTATAATTTGTAGTTGCGGCGCTGCACATACTTACATAATGTATTCGTACCGTCGTACACTTGTGCATATAAAGACTTCTGAGCTTGCACAAGTGTACTCGTACCAATACGTGGCGCAGTGCGCAGCTCGATTTATTGTGCTTGGCAGCTTGTAACTACTATGTAGCATCGGACGCAGAGTAAAGGCATAAAAAAATATATAAGAGAGAATGACGAAAAGGACAAGAGCTACTAAAAGTGAAAAATTTTAGTCGGAATTTCGGATGCGATAAACTGCATAGCCACGACAAGCAGAGTTAAAAAAATTTCCTTGTACCTGCACTGAATCGCAACTTCTACATTACGCTATACATCTATATTTGTAAGCTCGAGCTCGTTTTTGTCTCGGGCCGTACCGCTACAAACTTGCAAATAGCTTTTGACAATTTGCGAAATGTATATACGATTTCCCACAGCCTGCTGCTATCGCCCGAAGTTAAGATGTACGCCAAGTTCTTTCGAGCTTGAAAAAACGCTGCGGTGTAAAAAGAAGAAGGAGGCAAGAGGACGCGTACGTTATGCAACGAACGTAATGCGCGCAATAAGCTCCGAACTATCTGTGCAACTGTCCAGAGAGGTGCAAAACTTTTCCTCTTCCTGATCTGTAATCTTTCCTTTTTTTTCTTTTTAATGCGTCTCCGATTATTCTATGTCGCTTTGCCAAATTCAAACTCTGATTCGATGCAAGAAGAAAAAGTGTTGACAAAAAATTCACGGTCAGCCGAAGGTGGTGAAACGAACCGAATTACGTAGTTTCGAGTAACGAATGCGGCAATTACACACTGTGTAGGCGGTTTAATTATCTTCAAGGATGCAGCTTGCGGAGTATCAAGAGCTCACTCTGTAAAGTTGCAGATATAGATACGCGAATTGTTTGGAGTTTAATTTTTTGGGCCATATCCAAGTTTTTTATTTCAAGAACTATATGCGAAGCTTTTCTACTCGCGCCAAATTTATGTACAATTATATTTTCATACCCTTGGTATTGAACACTTTCGATGGAGATTGTCGAGTTTTTTTTATGCATCTAAATTCATGCAATCATCTGCGTCGCTTTTTTCAAAAACAATCGCTCTTTCGTACCAGAGCCTGAAAAATATTTCACTTCGTGCCAAGTTTCTTCGCTCTCGCTCTCTCTTTTTTTTCTCTCTGTCTCTATTTCTACCTTTATTTCTCCGTGTACCAAATTATTGATTCACACAATTGTTTTCCAGCGCCCGGCATCATCGATAAATCATTTCGATGCTTCTAGCTTTTTTATTTTCTCGTTGTCGTCATTAACCTCGCGTCCGGAAAAACGAGTAATCATTACTGCGGCGGCTGCTGCTGTGAACTGGTGAGTGTTTACGGAGCTTGAGGCCGCGATGACGAATGTATAACTGCGCACCTCCTCATAAAATCAAAATAAATCAAACGTGCCACTAGCGTAAATCCATTTATTTTTCCCGATCGCGTGACCAGTACTACCTATATATACGATACCAATGGTAGATATATGATTTATATTACGCGGCAGACAGTTTTGCGTACATCGACGGCAACTCAAGAAATATTTTCTGCCAAGTGAGCATCGACGTTAATTGAAAAGTAACATCTGATAACGCACGTTATTAGCTTAGCATCGTTTACAAATTGCAAATCGTTCGTATAAATTGTACTATTGTGCTTTGGTAATTCGAATCGAATACCAAGCAGATTAAGAGAATCATTTGCACATGCATCAATCACGCGTTAAAATGATCGACTGGCATAATATTATTTTAACATAGTATCGGAAAAATTAGTAAATAAATTTATGCGAATAATTAGCAACGATAAATTTTCGGGATACACGCGTGTTGAAAGTTTGTAGCGTCGCTCTTTGTGCGATATGCAACGTACAGCAATTATTCTGTATAAGCGAGGACCAGAGATGAGTTGCGGAATGAGCGACTCAACACGCGCCAGGATCAGTTGTACACGCATAAAGCGTGTATACCACATAGGTGTGTTACATGCGGTTACACGCGTATGTAAACGCAAACGTGTTTAAGGACAAACGCGTCGAAATCGCCCTGTGTACGAGTTTTCCCTTTCCCTGCCGTGTGCCCCCATGACGAGCACAGTAGTTGCGCTGCACGAAATTTGCAAGGGAACGTTAACTCGAGTTAATTGTATCCAACTGCCGGGCGAGTGTCTAACGAGTTTCCATAATTGCGATTAATATTAGCACCACTGTGGGGAACTCCTTGCTCGAAACAGAAAAAGAAAATCTCCATGCGGCAGAGCTCGTCCAAAAGAGAGATTCAATTCAAAATTTAGCTGTAAAGTTTCTTTCCTTTGGGGCGTTTCATATACGTTCGCCTACGCGAGCCCGCGCTCTGTAAGGTGTACAACGTATATAGCTGGCGAGGAATTAGTATGCGTGCCAATGGGCCAGGTATAAAAAAGAATCGTCGAAAAAGTGAAAAAGTAACTTCTCTTTAGTCGACTATCTCGTATAACTATATAGACTCGAGCACACGCAAAGAAATGGTCAAACTTGTCGGGTGTGCTTCGTTAGCGCGTCGCGGACGTGTGCCCCAACTTTGTCGAACAAAATCAGCAGTTGCAGTACAGTCGAAGCACAGTAAGCGATAGAGAACCGAGAGGCACAGTTTTTCCCCTCTCTTTTCTAGGTCTCTTCCCGGCTTCTACTCGACATTTGCACCTACAAAGCTCCTGCTGCTGCGTGAATGTTGATAAACCCCTACACATTGCGCAGCTGCTATACAGGTCTACGTACCATTAGTTCAGCGGGAAAATGAGCACGTACATGTACAAAATCCTTGATACATAAAACCGAAATATCATCAATTCCTCTCGCTAACATTCACGCAACATTGGTCGATGTTTGCGCATAGATATATATTATGGGCACAAAATCCCTTTGAAGAGTTAAGCGATGATCGCTCGTCGGGCTATACAAACATGGGACGTGCGCAGCAGGCGAGCGCATGTGTTCACTTTGAAAATTAGCGCTCATACACACTAGGGCACTCACTCACTCATTCACTAGCGCTGAGCGTAATAAAATTTGTGAATTTGGCGTATTATGCAAAAATTTTGCTCGCGAGTGTACACACTTGCAGAAGTACCACTGGCTGCTGCTGCTCTATGTACTGCTTTAGCTACTTTCTCCAGTGTGCTCGTGGCAAATATAAGCGTACGCAAAAATGAGCGCGCCCCGTGGTTTGCACATGCAATTTTCGCTCGCGTGGAAAGCATATATGCGAAATAAAAATATTCTACGTAGTATATTTCTTTTTTTCTTTTTGTATCTTTATTTTTATTTCATAACCATTGACGAGTATAAGCAATAAAAGCGCGTCGCACTTTTTTCTTGCGCGTTAATTCGAGGTTATGAATACCAGCCGCGTTTAATTGATGTATTACAACTCCGCAATTACTGTAGAATGCAGAGTATTCGATAATTGATTACATAATCTCGAGAGTGCGAGTGAGAGAAAGATATTGAGGTTCTAACGATGAAAATTTCCGTGTGCAGCATCTATTGTATGAGTAGTTAATCGAGACGATATTACTCTCGATACGAGGGGAGGAAAACTGGGCTGCTTGTTCATTAATTTCAATCCCGGGGATTAATCGATAGTTAAGCAACGCGCGCAAAATTATTTACCATTATTATTTCATAATTCAACGCGACGATCGGCGTCGAGTGGATGTTGTAAAATGCTGCGCGCTCGGACAATATAATAACTCGATAAAGCTCGTCGAGAAAAAGAATAAATAAAAATAAAAATAAAAACAGTAGAGGAAAAAGAGAAATAATGTACTCACAATCAATAGATGCAGAAGAGAGGGCGAGATAGAGGCGAGAAGAAACTACATCGGTGGCTGCAACAACGGCGACGACGACGAAGTCGCTGACGACGGTGACGACGTCCAAGTCCACGGTATCATTATCGTTCCTCTCGCAGCTGCAACATATATACACGCCAAGTGGGTAAAAACTAAGAAAAAGTGACGTACATGAAAGTCTGCGTGGCTCGAGTAAAGTATCCGAGAACTCGTGTTTTTATTTATATGTTTACTCGATAAAACTTTGCGAATTAAAATTCCGAAGCCACGTGAGCACGCGCCCTGCATAGCAGTAGTAGAAGTACCAGTAGTAGTGAAAGTAGTTGTAGTAGTAGGCGCATTCTTTGCTTGAAGCATATTTTTTTTATTTGCATTTATGTAAAAGGGATATAGGGCGAATAGTGCAATATCGGCCACAGAAACGTCAACAAGCTGGCACACATGCAGTATAGGTCTAAACTCTCGCAAGCAGTCCACTGCGCGCATATGGCTAAGCTGCTGCTATATTTACGTACTCGCAAGACCGTGGGGCTTAAAAATTTCTTGTCACACACAGAGCGTCGTAGTGCGTATATACATGCGAGGTGAACTCTAGTGCCAAACTCGCATGTGTCGCAATTTATATGAAGTCGTAGTTGTTATAGTTTAGTGCAGCAGCCGCAGTATATTGAACCTGTATCTGCCAGAATCCGCTTGCCGAAATTACTGCCGAAAAATTCGATCGAATTGCGACTCGTTCGTGCGTGCCAGTACAACAGCAGCAACCGCTGCGGCAGAGCTAGCCATGGGTGATCTTGAAAAGTATTGTAATCCGTGTGTCGGTCAGCACGCATCAGGCTTGTGCGCGTTTTTGTGTGTCTATACCTTTATATCGACCATAGATTCGATCAAATTCAATATTGTTTTTCAAATAAGATTCAGAAAAAATGATTACATCATGAATCGCGAAAATCTTGAACACTTATGCACACAGTTAGGTCGCGCCGCGGACACTGGTACAGCGCCTATAAGTGGACTCTCGGAGCAAAACGACAAACGAGCCGCAGCGCGCGCGCGCGCCGCTTTTGTAGTCGACGCTCGCTCGCTCACCTATAATACGTACACGCAGCTTTAATCCCCCATAGCTGGGCGGCCGCGTAATCTCTTTAAAAGAGCAGCCGAGTGCGCAGCATTAAGGGATGTAACGAGATTCGAGCCGCTTGTTCTCGCTCTTCTCGGGACAAAATTGACACCGACTGTGTGCTGCACGGTACCCGAGTAGAGCAGGTAGGCGGCGACGCTGCGATCCCCCGAGCGAGAAGAAATTATAAAAAAGAAATTTTTCTCGTTAACGACCGCGGTGCGCTCGAGAAAAATCGAGCTCGCCGAATAAAGCTAGACTGTCGCTGCGGCCGCGGCTGCTGTAGCGTCGTCGTCGCGCGCGCGCGGCTCAGCTGCACACTTGATATTATTTCTACATGACTGCAGCTGCTGCGACGGCGGTGACGGTGGCCAGCTATAGAACGCGTAAAAGCCCAGCGAACTCTCGCGATGCGGCCACAAAAATAGCCGCTTCGTATGATACAATATATATTTTAGATCAGTACAACCATGGGTTGCAGTGCATTCGCGAACGTAATTGTCAACTCTCGTAATCGAACGATAGCCAAGATATAATAATTGTTGCTTTGATGCGTATATGTATGCGAGTATGTATTCGATAACGAGAAAATCCCTGAAATCCTCAAAGTCATTTTCGGCAATTGCACTTGTGCGACATCTCTGCATGGGATATTATCCATTATATATGAATACCGCCCGATTAAGCTCGCACGAGTCGAATCGTTCGTAAATTCAATAACCGTGGATATAAAGTCGAATCACAGCCGAACAAACCGGAGGTATAAGCGAAGCTCGCGAGTACAGCTGCAGTAGCAGCAGCTGTGCGGGAGCTTTTATTCTGGCGCGGACGAGCTACACGTCATCCGTGCTGCAACTCACACATATAGTGCGCATAGGTACGCGCGCACTATGCGCGTTGTCATAGTTACAGGTGTGTACAGCGTGTGTGACGTCGTCCCAAAATCTGTTGCTAATACGCAAATTCGCCTCTAAGCACTTTTATATATTCGTATACGTTGTGTGCGTTGCAGCTGTGCGCGCGCGAGCTTCGTTATGAATGCCGAGGGAAAAAAAAGAAACGAAGAGTTCGTTGATTTTTCTCGATGAAAGCGAGAATAAAAGATTAGCTCGGACATGAAAATCAACGAGCGCGATCAAAAGAGAAAAAAAGAACGGACAAAGCAGTTCCGGGTTCTTTTGCGTATTCTTTTTTTCCACGACCAAGTTTATGCTGGATACAGCTTTCCTAGCAAAAGAAAGAGAGAGAAAGAAGGAGATAGAGGCTAACGAAGTACGCCCACGCTAGCAAATTGCCACAGCGGAAATTCGAAGGAGGCCTATAGTTGCTGCGTTACCGCCGCTGCTACTACTGTACCGCTGCTCTTACGTTCGAGAAAAGGAGGTGGGAGCGCGCTCGTGGAAAATAAAAATCTCGAGGCTCGCTGTACAGCTTGGAGGTATAATCTGCCTAATCGTCTTTGACGCTAATTAAAAAGCTATGCTGCACCGCGAGAGCCGCATTACCAACTGACCCGCGCGAGCTCCATCATGAACTCGGAGCTACTCCTACTACTATTGCTGCTGCTGCTGCTGCTGCTGCTGCTGCTGCTGCTCTACTCGAGAGCTATAGAGAGTGGGTAAGAGAAAGAGACTCTGTGATTATTAATTAATTAAAACCACGCACGCGAGCTCTAGTGCTGTGTGCGGGACGAAAACTGTGTTTCTGAAAATACGACGATTCACGCCGAAAAGTAAATATTCAAAACGCAGAACTATATATACTTTAGAGCCCCATACTCGGCTAGCAAAATAATAATATTAACCATATTATTGATCAACGCGGTGTATACAATTAGCACTTGCTATAAAGTTTCACATCTCGCACTTTCTGTTGCTATATTTATTTTGTTTACATTTTCGTTCGCGCCGATCTATACTCTATCGTTTTGGTCAGGTGAGATAGCGGCGCTCAGTGCCAATAGTCGTGTTGCTCAGTGTACCCTACACCTCATGACTAGTAAAATTTATTCAAATTAAAATGGGACTGTCTTTGTCTAGCCACGTGAAAAAGGTGTTCGGAATGAATCTCGATTTCGGTAAAAATTCCAATGCAAGTTCTGATGCAAGTTCTGGAACAAGTTCTAGTGCAAGTTCCGATGTAAGTTCTAATGCAAATTCTGGAACAAGTTCTGATGCAAGTTCTGATGAAAGTTCCGATGCAATTTCCGATGCAATTTCCGATACATTTTGGGATACATTACACAGTTCTGACATAAAATTCGTTAATCGAAAAAGGGAAAGAGGCAGAGTCAGATTAGAAAAATTCAAGATCATGCGAGCAGAATTAAATTGGGAGATCGAAAAAGAGCGGCACGAATTTCGGGATAAATTTTCTCTCCTCACCGAGCCTAGATCAACTTGGTATTGTTACCAACCAGATCTCCGGGACTTTTTTCAGCCCGAACAAGTTGAATGGCTTATCATGGATTCCCTGAAAGCAAGGGTGAAGAAAAGGAGTTGTGACTGTAACTGTGAGTATACGGAACGTTCAGCTTCACTTATCGACTTCATAAAACTAAGTGGCTTCAAGATACAGCCCCACTTGGATGGGGACGGCAATCCAGTGTCGCGTCGCACCACCCCACTTCACTATGCGATCACGTACAGTTGCTCATTTATATGTCAAGACTTATTTGGTGCTATAAGGCTATGACGTTAATTACACCGACAAAAACGGTCTCACGCATTCACACGCGGCCATCAGCATTCCCTTACCAGACTACGTGGATGAATTTCTTGAACTCGGACATGCGACCTGCGTCCCGGAAGAATCGGATACGGTTGATCCGCCGCTGCACTGGGCTCTGATCGAAAACGATAGGTCGTCTGTCGTAAAGCTAATCGCCAAAGGCGCCGATCCGAATTTGGCCAACAAGGATGGACTGACTCCTCTCCACGTTATTTGCAAGAGTGGTCGAGAATATAACACAGAGTATTTCTTCAGGGCATAACAACGACATCGGGCCGGTGCTGATCGTTGCCCGGGACAATTTGGGTCGAACGCCGCTTCAATGGGCCGTGTCGTCTCTCATGCCGAAAACAGTCTATGTGCTCTTGGACCGTGGTGCCGATCTGTCTGATTTTATTTTCCCAGACGAGAGTTATTTCGCCCTGAAACTCCAGCAAATCAAAAGGCTGAAAGGATTCGAAGTGGGACTAGCAGCTGGTACGCTTGACGTCGTCAAGCGCTTGGAGGCGAGAGGATACCAATTGGACCAAGACGCTGCTCAAACGATCATAAGAGTATTCGCCAAACTCGAAATTTTCAAGATTACTCAAAAATATTCACTCGCCGATTCCTACTTCGTAGGCAGGTCGAAAAAGCTGATGATGGGCCCCAAAGTTTCGCTCTACAAGTTATGCCTGATGTCACCCAAAGAGGCGATGAAACTAGCCACGTTCGAGGACTACGTCCGATTCGCGTTAACGCGCAAATTTTGGAAGCTGCGCAAAGAGTATCGTCAGGCCTGCGGCCGGCGTCTGTGCGAGATCGTGTTGAGACAATTTTTCCGACGATGGGCACTGCAACACGTCTCGACGCTGACGCGACTGCGGTTGTCGATTTACGACTGCGAAAAAATCATCGACACGCTGAAAAACGTGGATTTGTGGTGCATTTGCATGGCGGCCACGGGACAAATCTCGGATGACGAAGAAATGAAACAATATCTAAAAGATACATCTCGACACACGAGCCATACTACCACGACCACGAGGAATGTGAATGGTATATTACTGTCCTAAGCCGTGAAAAACAGAAATATCCCAAACATCGTGTACTTGGTGCCCTCGGCGAGACAGGCGTGCCCGATAAACACATACTCTGGGGATTTCATTTTTGGCGGTGTAGGCCTGAATGCTATTTTTTAAAAGCAGTGTCCCGAAAATATCTCTTCCCGCTTTGCGCAGCGGCAGGGGGCGTTTGGGGAACTTTTTGGGCCTCTGGTATGAAAAGAAG